CGTCTGCAAGAAAACAACCAAGCTCAGAGAGCACCGAGGACCCCAAAGTTTTCATCTTCCTTCCACATTGGTTACCTAACTTTCCTCCTCCCTGCCTCCTCCTCCTCCTCTCCACATTCCCTACTCCCTTCTAGCCCTGATGATGTTACCTACCTGGGTCATGAACCGTCTGCAAAAAAGCAACCCAGCTCATAGGGCAGCGGGCACACAGCCGTCCCGCTCCACACAGCCGTTCTCCCCCTCCCCCTCCTAGCACTGATGATGTTCCCTCGTTGGGTCAAGGAAGGCCAACCCTTTCATCGGGGATTCCGACTCTTCCACCCAAGGAAATGACCGTCCCAGGGAGCCCGGGAGCCCCACCCCACCCCCCCTGCAGCTTCCCACCTGGTCGTGCGAGTAGGGCACCCCCAGGAAGTGGTCAAAGCCTTGGTTGGTGGGCAGGAACGTGCCGTTGAGGCCCAGGCCCAGGTGCCACTTGCCGACCATGGCGGTGGCATAGCCGTGCTCCTTCAGCAATTCGGCCACTGTCACCTCGGCCAGCGGGAGGCCCCCCTGCGAGCCGGGATAAAAGACGCCAGGATAGATGCCGGAACGGGTCTGGTAGCGCCCCGTCAGGAGGGCTGCCCTGCACAGAGAGAGAGAGAGAGAGAGAGTGGGAAGCCGAGACAGAGAGAGTCCGTGTCACGCCCTGGTCTGACTCTGAGGGGGAGACCGAGCAGCTGACAGGGGGTGGTGGGAGTGTGGGCTCCAGTGGCTGTGGAGGAAACGGGGGAAGGGCACAGTCCGGCTGGGCATTTGGAGGAAGACCCAGGCCCACCCACTCTTCATCCTAGGGCACGCAGGGAGGAACGGATAAAAGAGCAACGTGGGTTATGGGGGAGAAAAGGGCCCTGATCCCTTTCATTAGTTGCAGCTGGGAGAACAGGATATAAGAAGGGCATTTGCACACGGCTCCTTGCTGGAAGCAAAGCATGCATTATCTTGGTCAAGCCTTATCTGGGTTTTTGTTATCTTTTGGAAGTCTGCAATTTATTATCCTGGCCTGTCGCGTTAATTACTTCAGTGTGGTTTGTGTTGGGTTTTTTTATTTCTAATTTATCTGAACTTTGGGTTTGGACTGGATTTCTTCCCTTCGTAGACTGTTTTTGGAAGAGTTTAATATCCAGATGAGGATAACTGGACATTGGGGGCCAAGTTGGAGGCATTAAAGGGAATTTATCTATTTTGTGACTTTGTTATTTTTGTGCCATGCCCCTTTGGGTCATCCCAGTCCTTGACTTACCACCATTCATTTAGTGGCCATTCAAAGTTACAATGGCACTGAAAAAAGTGATGTTGTCACCGTTCCAACTAACCAACTCCAAACCAGTAAACTCTGAGACAAGTTCTAATTTATTAGAGTTGCCCTATGGGCACACCTGGGAATACCCAAATCTGAGAGTATCCGGGTTTTCCCTTCCCAAAAAATAATTCAAGGATCCCTCCCCTGCACCCATCAGTCCATCTCATGGCCCAATCAAATCTTCTTCCCAACTGGAGACATTCCCCCAGTCACTCCCCTCCAGGTGCAGGGCAACACGTCCTTGACTCTCTGAGAAAGAATGTTGTTGAGTCTAAAGTTCTACCCCGCTATGAAATCCCCCCTCCCAAATTCCCAGGCACTGAATGTGGCAGCCTGGAAGCTTCCAAGGCTGACAGATGTATGACCGTTGTTCACATTTAATGACCACAAGGTCACGTGATCAAAATTCCGATGCTTGGCAACTGACACATATTTATGACGGTTGCCATGTCCCGGGGTCACATGATCCCCTTTTGCACCCTTCTGACAAGCAAAGTCAATGGAGAAAATCATGTTCGCTTAACAGCCATATTGTCAGGGTTCCGATGGATGCCCTAATTAATTCATGAGCCTCGAGCCAAGTTTCAAAAGAAATCCAATTATTTATTAGGAGCAACAAATGTTGTCACTTTCCCCAAATGTGGTTGCCTCTGCCCTATCTCATTTACTGCCCATCTATGACCCTGTTCCCCTCCTCTTAGACACTTAGACACTTAAAAGCCACCTGTGGCACAATCCACTTGCCCACTGTCTCGCTTAGCAGCAGGAATTTTGGACTCAATTGTGGTTGCAAATCAAAGTCTGCTTGTAGATGGTTAGGTCTGATCATCCTCAGAGCCAGAGCTGGAGGTCATAATTCCTCCCCAAGGAAGCCAAGAGATGGAAGGTCTTCACCTTGGACAGAGAGGGCATCTCAAGAGGTCCACCTTGGACTCAGAGGGCATCTCAAAAGGTCCACCTTGGACACAGAGGGCATCTCAAGAGATCCACCTTGGACACAGAGGGCATCTCAAGAGGTCCACCTTGGACTCAGAGGGCATCTCAAGAGGTCCACCTTGGACACAGAGGGCATCTCAA